ATGTCACGCAGGAAGTTTTCAACCACCACATCCTGGGTGGGGCCAGAGCTCATCTTACAAGGGGTGAACCAATGAGAAAAGAGGGGAGAGGGGCAGAAACTACCCCGATTCAGGAACCTGTGGAAGAAAGATATAAAATAAACTTCATTTTTCGTGGGTGATGTTTTTGTTATAAACACTTTTTTTATGGGTTGTGTTTATTATTCCTCAAGAAATTGTCTTCTCTAGTTTCTACATCACCAATCGACACTAGCAAATTGATACAAACTGTGCAAGAACACTAATTTAACTACACAGCCACACTGTTATACCGATACACTGCAACACAGTCTCACAAATACACTGTACTGTACTGTACTGCTGTACTGGGACTGTTCTCCTGTACTGGGACTGTTCTCCTGTACTGGGACTGTAGGCCCAATTGTAACAGGACTGTTCTCTTGTACTGGGACTGTAGCTCCTATTATAACAGGACTGTTCTCCTGTACTGGGACTGTAGCCCCAATTGTAACAGGACTGTTCTCCTATATTCCACTATAATCCACTCTATTACACTGTGTTAGTGCTGTTCAGTGTTACACTGTGCTGTGTGTTACTGCTGTCTACTCTGTTACACTGTATTGTGTGTTACTGTAACCCACTCAGTTACATTGTCCCATGTGTTACTGCTGTCTAGTCTCTTACACTGTCCTGAATGTTACTGCTGTCCACTGTTACACTGTTCTGTGTGTTACTGCAGTCCACTCTGTTACACCCAAAGAAGGCTCCACAGCCAAAATGTTGTGTTTTCAGCATGGAATAAACCTTTACTTGATCCTTTGCACTCTGTAACACTGTACTGTGTGTAACTGTAACCCACTCTATTATGCTGTCCTGCCTGTTACTGTGGTCTACCCTGCTACAGTGTGTGTCACTGTATCTCATGATTTTCACCATGCTTCTGTACACTGTTGTCTGCTGCAGTATCCTGTACTGCAGTGAGAACTGGGTTAAGAGTCGAGAGTGGCTGTGCTCATTGGTCCATGATTTCATTCTGCACATCCGGCAATTTCTTCGCGCTGCTCTGCAATTATAGCATTACGTTCTCGAGGAGATTATTCTTGCAATTATTCAGGTCTGCTGCCGGCAGCTCAGCTTGACGGGGTGCAGGGAGGGGAGCTGGTGGGTTGAGGAAGGAGGCTGAGAGGGGAGACTAAACACAGATAATGCTGCTGCAAGGCCACTGTGTGTCGCCCCCTGCTGGAGACATCCCGCCTCCAGTGCAAGTGCAAGGTGAGCTGCGTGTGGGAGTCAAATTGTGACGCGTTTCCACGACACCACAGGGATGAGCAAAACATTGAGGGATTAGCAAAACGCTGGTGAGGGTGCCTTCAGTTCAACCAGACAATCTCATGTCCCACCCTAACCAGTATTCTCCTCTTAATTCTAAATGTTAAGTTATGACCAAAAAGCAGCACTGAAGGAAACAGAAACTGATTGAAAATCTCAGTTGAAGCTCTTCTGTGATGCTGTTGCTGCTGCTGTGGTTACAAACCCGTGCCTGGCATGGTGTGGCGTCTGTTGTTCCACCAGCTTGCACGTCTGTGCACAGCAGGGGAGGAGACAACCGAAAGGGTGTGCTTTAGCAGTGGCCTGGTTTCCCTCAGAAACAGAATGGGATGCTACTTGCATTCCCAATCCCACTGCAAAGAAGTTTCCCGTCCGAGGCTTCTGCTTCGTAAACGCCCAAGGGAGCAGACATGAAAAACTGATGGGGACCGTATTCCTGGCGGAATGATCGAC